ATATATATATATATATATACACACATACATACACTACCGGTCAAAAGTTTGGGATCAGAACGATTTTTAATGTTTTTTACAGGAGTTTCTTCTGCTCATCAAGGCTGCATGCATTTAATCAAAAATACAGGAAAAAATGTAATATTGTGAAATATTATTATGTAAAATAATGTTTTTCTATTTTAATATACATTAAAATCTAATGTATTTCTGTGATGCGCAGCTGTATTCTCAGCATCATTACTCCAGTCTTCAGTGTCTCACGATCTTCAGAAATCAGTATAATATGCTGATTTATTATCAACGTTAGAAACAGTTTTTGCTGCTTCATGTTTTTTTGGGGAACCTGCGATAATTTTTTCAGGATTCTTTGATGAATATAAAGTTAAAAAGAAGAGCATTTATTAAAAATAGAAATCTTTTCTAACAATATACACTACAGTTCAAAAGTTTGTGGTCAGTTAGGGCGGTCACGATTATGAAATTTGGCTGGCGATTAATTGTCTAAAAATAGTCACGGTTATTGCGATTAATTGCCTATTTTAGGGCTTTGGCGATGATGCCGATTATCACAATTAATTGTCTGAGAATCAGCTATCCAACACCAGCGCTATTTGTTTTCTACACCACTACAGAATATCAGTACTGTGTTTGTGGTTTGTGGGGTCACTCTTATAAACCCTTTGTTAAACACAATCCACTAAATACTCACTTCCTCATTACAGAGAAAAACTACATTTGAATAAAAATATATAAGCTATGAAATATATATAAGCTATGAAATTAAACTAGCTGACTGAATAATTTAGCAGCAAAAACAATATCTTGAAAAAAAATCTTTGGTGCACATTATACAATTTAAGCATGTTTATTCTGTTTATTCTGTTAATTCTCACATGAATATATATAAGATAGAAATCATGAGAAAAAGAAAGGCTTCTAATAATCCTAATAATCTTTATAATTCCTTCCTTCCTTAAACTTAAAGTATTATAATGTGAATATATCATCTTGGAGAGAGAGTTTTATGCTGACTGTCATAACTGAA